GTCAGTAAATGAACAAGAGAGACAAAACATGCGACCAACCTCTTTGAGACGAGCACCGACATTTGCAACGAGCTTCTTTGTGTCTCTTGGAACCTTGGAATCTGTGAGCAAGAACTTGACGGATCGGAATCTAATACCCAAGTCAGTAACATATTTGAATATTTGTTGACAATAAACCTACCCATGAAGACTGTCCATGCCACCCTTTTCACCGCGCTTGTAGGCAATAGCACCACCGAATACCGACACGGTATTATCAACACCACTCGGGTTTCCATGCATGACCTTTTCGGCAACAAAGGCCCACTTGTTCACTTCATCAGCTACAGAAGACGGGATAGCTCGTCGACCGTCATGCTTGATATTGTAGTTGATCGCAGCTTCCGAGTTGAGTCGGCGTCGGACGGGCTCAGTGAGAGATGTGCGCCTGGCAAAGATCAAGTTGACAGCGGCGATACATGCCGAATAAGAAGCTGAAGATCCGAGACCTGCTCCAATGGGGAGTGTGGAACGAGTGCTGAAGCTAAAGCTGGGCTTGGGTTTTCCATCTTGTCGTAGGATCATGTATAGGTACAAGAAAGCGGTGACGGCTGCTTTTGCACGGATATAGTCTGGTTCGTTGACGCTGCTTGGTAGAGCTTTTGTGATCGCGTCCATGAGACGTTGGTCGAGGAGTGGACCGTGGTCTTCTCCAACGCGGGTAGGTGTGACGGCCTCCCAAGGCAGAGAGTCGATCTTCCAAGAGTGGTACCAATCGTTGAGATCGGGCAAGTGTAGAGAAATTTCTCCATCATCTCGATGAGACGCCAAGGCGTAGCAACGAAGGTCCACAGAGGCACCGATAGCGGTCTGTCGAAAGACTTATTAGAAAACAAGGATATAATAAAACAGAAGGCGAGTATGCTTACAACACCATGTACCACGGCGTGTTCGCCGAACAAGATAACCTTGCCTGGAGCAGAAACGAACCAATGAGGATGAGTGGGCTTCCTTGGTTCTTCGATAGAGGGCCTGCGGTCGACAACAAGTGGGGGTGGTGCCCAGGGCTCGAGCTTGATGGGACTGAAGGGCGCGACGACGGGCAATGGCGAAGGCAAGACAACACCAGCCTCTGTAAGGGCGTTCTCCAAGTCGTAGATCAAATCCTCCGGATCTTCAATTCCCACACAGAGACGGATCAAGTCCTCTGGGAGACCACGAGCTGCACGAACGGCCGGATCTATTGAAGCGTGCCTAACGAACAAGTCAGAGACTTGAAAAATGCAGGAGGAGAAAATTGACTCACGACATTGCACAGGGAATGCTGATCAAAGAGTTTACAGCACCAAAGCTGACGCTGATACCCCATAATCTAGTACCACCCACAATCCTCTCACTGAGAGCCTTGTCTCCAGTGATAAAACTGAGGACCGCCCCGGGTCCGCTGGCCAATCTATCATGAATTCCTTTTCCGGGGTGGCTTGCGAGACCAGGGTAGTGGACCTTGAAACCATGTCGTTCCAAGAACGTCGCGACGGCCATGGCAGAGCGTTGCTGCCGATCCATTCGAATCGCCAGTGTCTTGATTCCACGGAGGAGCAAGAAGGAGTCGAACGGAGATAGAGCATTGCCTACTGCGTTGATGATAAAACCAATTTGCTGCAAAGAATGAGCGAGGGACAAATATAGAACTGGTCTGCGTACCTTGCTAATGTCGTGTCTATTACACGCGATGACACCTGCCATCAAGTCATGGTGACCACTCAAATACTTGGTTCCACTATCATAGACGATATCGGCGCCCAATTCCAATGGGCGCTGTAAATAGGGGCTCATCATAGTATTATCGACGACCACAAGCGCATCTGGCGCGATACGGTGTACATATGTAGCAATAAGTTCAATATCAGCGATTTTGAGGAGCGGATTCGTGGGACTCTCGAGTAGGACCATGGCGGTTTTGCCGGGCTTGACTAATGGGGTGATGAGGTCCGGATTGGTCGTATCGGCATGGTGAACGGTAATATCACCATGTTCTTTGAGATAAGTTAGCAGACGGTTTGTTCCACCGTACAAATCGTCCCCCGCAATAACTTCATTGCCGGCTTTGAGCAGTCTTGTGATGACATCCAACGCTGCCATGCCAGAAGAAACGGTAAAAGCATGTTGAGCAGAATAAATTTTAGCCAAATGATGCTCTGTAAAGCCACATCAGCATTTTCTCAACAGCCCCTCCCCGTTCAAGGTTCGGTCGACTTACGGAGATGGCTTCGCGTAGGGTTTCCACTCCTGGTGTAATCGTAACGACCATCCATACCCTTGAACGTGGCGGTTTGGTATATAGGGACCGAGCTGGATCCATACTGGTCCTTTTCGTCGGGATTGTCGACTGTGGCACACTGGGTCGAAAAGTGGTACGGCCGACGAGGCTTTTGACTCGCAGGCGAGTCAGGAAGAGACAAAGGGGGTAAAGAAGTGGGTGAGGGGTATATCCCCAATGCGTCAGGAGCGTTTTTACGGAGAGGTGCAGACATGGGAAATGGATGTTGAGGTCTAGGTGAAGGATGGCGATGGCGACATTCGTACAGAGTGGAACCACAAAACCCAAGCTCGGCTCTCTGCCTTTTAAATAATCCGTTACAGACCAGAGAACAAGTGCTCCAACAATGGGCTGGGTATTATGCCAAAGTCATTCCGCATCTTTACAAAGGCAGCCAAAAATGCGATTGTGAGTGCCATTTAGGGATAAGGCTTGGAGAGAGTTATTCGGCCCCTCTGCCCAGTCTAGAGCGAGCGCTGACAGCTCAACGCGCCGTCTGTAGCACTCGAGCTATTGTAGTCGGTTTAGAGGACATCCTCACCGGCTGAATGGTTTGGCTGTGGCAGCATTAGGCTCACGCCCAATTGTTCTGTGGATGGGGATCGCCGCCACTCGCCTTTTGTCGCATTTGGCCGCTCAGTCCTCTTGCCAGATTAGTCTAACAACTAGCAAGTACATTCAACAAACTCTGTAATCCAACGGGCGCTGCGAGCCGGTCCAGTCTCGATTGTTATGCTCCTCTAGCTAGCTCGTTATGGCACCTGATCACTCGTGGATAACACCAAGTCAAATCATATTGGATTTCATAGGCATACGGGTGGAATGAAAAGAGGAGCATAATAATCCCTTCGTGTCGACCGTCGGCACGCTTAACGGCAGAGTTGCAAAGAAGCACCTCACGATCTTATAAAGAAAAGGTCTCTATGATTGGCTGATTCATGTCAAACGAGATTAATTAGCATGCTAACACGAGTGACCACGAAAAAAGTCGTCTATGAAGTTTCTCCTCCGGGATGACCGCCAGCACCAGCTTTCCATCTGTAAAATAATAAGAATAGTTAGCTTCTTGGTAACGAGATCTGGAAAAACGAGGCGAAACGACATAGGCCACGACTTGGTCGAAACCGGTGACATAGCCCCGATTAGATCCAAAGCCCTATGGCTATGACACAAGAGGCGGTCTTGTCTGCGAAAGGATAGACGAATGGGGGTGTGTATGGAGGTTTGGAGGGGCGCGGGAGTGGAAAGGGCAATGCTCTTGGACTCACAGCTGATATTTAACAGCGATGAAAGGAATAGAAAAGCCAGTAGCAAAGAAAATGGCTACTTTAGCAGCAAATGCCTTTTTATTGCGGTAGCTAAAGGGCATGTTCTATAGAAAGGAAAAGAGTAAAATGTGAGCTACGATTGGCGGCTCTCTCGACTTTTGCGTAGAAACGGCCTACGTTGTGTACGGTGTTTTCAATGTGGACATTTCTGGCCAAAATGAGTTTCTGAGGGTTTGAACGGGCCACAAGGGCAGTTTGACGAGCAACGGTACGTCCCAACATATCCGTCCGTTGGTGTGGTCGAGATCAAGAGTTGAGCGACTGGGCCACTCGATACTCTTCTACACCCTCGCCTATTATCATTCGCCACCCTGAGCTAGGTACTCACTTTGATTTGAGATCTTATTGTCATTATCATTCTAAGAACGTCATATCAGGCTTCGTTATGCCATGGGGCAGTCCGGCTTTCAAGTTTGGGAATTCGTCCAGCCATGAATCACGGCAGAATATGAACGAGAGACCATCAGACAGGGACAGGTCACGAAATTACTCGGATATACACTCGAATTCTTCTGGTGCTCCTCCCTCCCGGTTCCAGCAGGTGCCATTCCAGTCAACGCCATCAAGCTCAACGCCTGCAACATTTGGCAAGCTTCCTGTCAATTCAAGTTCCAGCTCAACTGGAGCCTTGCTTACAGAAGACCATGAACCGAATCTTGCCAATTCTAGACGGCTACAAGGACCACCTAGTGTCATCGCGACACGCCCACCACGTATTTTGAATCATGCACGGCTAAAGAGACCCCCTACTTCCCCATCCAAACACGGTCATTCTAGATACAAGCCCAATCCTTACAAGAGTAGTATGTGAACAATGATGCCACTGATTACAAGTCTGACCTCGTTTATAGTGGGTGGCAAAGTAAACTCGTCGTCATCACGAGGAAGAGGGAGTCCAATAAAACGTGGAGGGTCTCACAAAAGGATTTATCCCAAGCAGGCCAACTCCAATCCTATCATCAAGCCTACTCCAGTCGCCGGAGCTGAGTCTCCACCACCCAAAGTTGATGCCACAGAAAGAGAAATGCCTTCTGAGGTAGTTCAAGATGCTCTCACTTCAACCTCCTATCGTCAACAAAGCTCGGATATCTATCCAGAAGAACAAATCTACGTTGACTCTGACGCTCCCCTCTCCTCTGGAAACCATGAGCATATGGAGCACTCTCCTAGCAACGACCCTGCGACTGTATCTGAAGTCTGGAAAGAAGAGCAAGATATCGTTGCTCCTTCGGCACCGAGTTGTGAGGCGAAAGAAGAGCCTATAAGTTACCGACTACCTTCTCCAATAGATGTCGACACTCTACCCCAAACGCTGTATGAGCAACTAGGATTACCACTCCGAAAATCAGGAGCTTACCGAGCTCTTCATCCTCGGTTCAAGAAGAGCCAACAGGGAGAACGAGACAAGTGGGCTGCGGAAATAGCAGAACAAATCAGATGGGTTCGCGGCAAGGAAACGGGTTTGAAACCGTTAAAAGTTGGAAGAGTATTGTGGAGGTATGCTGAAATGCTTCTCTTCTAACGACCATGTCAATTATATGCAGGTCCGATGGAGTCTCCTTTGACTGGGAGCTGCCTTCTGATGATGAGCTGGAAATGCAAGCAGACATCACCCATGGGACTCTAATTCCGATGCAAGATTCCGAGTTATCATTCTTGGGCTCCCCACGGACCTCTTCACCAGAAGACATGCGACGTTTTGGATCTTCCCAAAGAAATTCGCCTCTCTGCGATAATCAGTCTATCGCCCAGTCATCAATAGCACATACAGACCCCTCATTATCCGCCGATATGATGACTTATATCAAAGCGGAACCAACAGACGGCA